AGTTTGTGTGCTGACTTGTCAATATGAAGAGTGACAATGAGCTCCCTTTACATCAACATGGAACAGATGGTCCAAGAGGATAATGGATATGGCAAAAATGATTTATTACAGAAAATTATAAAAAAAAACTCCAATAAGGAGATAAAAACAAATAATTATATAAAAAGTATAAAATATACAGAAATTCCTCTTGGTGTCCGAGACGCGTTTCGCCCGCTGTGCAGGCTTTTTCAATCGGCATACTGTGTCCATCTTTAGTTCCATGTTTATAGGGCAGGTCCGGCATTTGGTCGTCCAATCAGCAATCCGTTCGCAAAAAGGGGGGGGTGGTCTCTCCTCAGCTGATCTGTATACTACTTCATTAGTACGGATGCTGAGACTGTCCACACTAGCTGTAACCGCGGAGTAATTCCCACTAGTTCACATGGACAGCAGGGTGAAGTAGTACCCTCTGTCCCTCTCATCACTACATGCACTCTTATGTGCTCTGAGTCCATTCACAATATATACATATTACAAAGCATAAATCTCACACCATCAAAATAACAATAAAAATACATAGTTGTTACTATCTCGCTATATACAGGTAGTTCCCGACTTTACAAACTAATTGGTTCCGAAGCCTAGTTTATAAAGCGAGAGTTCATAAAGTGAGAACTAATTTCCCATAGACACAATGTAATAAACACGGGTTCCGTTCCTGACCAACAAATTTTACCATTGAAAACCTAAATTATTTAGTACAAATACAAAATAAAGGCATAGCAAATACATGTATGTTCTAAGAATTTTAAAGGCATGCATATCATATTGAAATCTTCTTTAAATCATCATCAATCCTCATACTATTCAATGAAGAGACATGCTGCACTTATTGTTACAGCTCAAACTCTCCTCCTTCCACTCTCTTACTTTCAAGCTTGCATCTCTTTTTTAGCACTTTTCTGTTACTACTTTTATTTTTACAGCTCTCAAAACTTCTTCCTTCTCCCCCCTTTTCAGGCTTTTCAGCCCTCCTCCTGCTCCTTACTATTGCTGCCTGCCAAAACATGGCACAATGGCAAACACACATACACACAGACAGCTATGTCAGACACACACAGATACATGAAGTCAAATCTCTACTCAATAGCACACAGTGCAATGATATTACAGGATCTGTAATGTATGCCCATGAAAGCACAAAAAGAATACAGTACAATCTAAAACTGTTTTTTAGACTTCCCTTTATCTTCAGGAACTGTGTTCCTGATCCTCATCTCTCTTCTTGTCTACTCCTGACCACACATTCTTCTTCTTCTCTTCTTGTTTGTGCTCCAAAGCACTCTTCTCGGTCCTGATCCGTGGACCACTGACACAAAATGGCGCTGAAACAAAATGGCGGCACATCCAGACAAACGTTCATAAAGGCGGGAGTTCATAAAGCGAGAGTTCATAAAGTGAGAAACGCCTGTACATGCTAGGAGGGAAAGGCGGGAGAGAAGGGGAGGGAACATACAGATTTATTAACCCCTAGAATGACTCACTGGTCAGCATTTCGCTCACCCAGCAATAAGGGAGAGGGCAGATGCGGACAGAGGGGGAAGAGAGAAAAAGCAAAAATGAGAATATTAGTACTTTAAGTCAGAAGACAAATCATTATACTTCTTTTTCATATTTACTTTATTGGTTCTATAGCAAAAGACATATAGGTAATCATTTATTAACAATAGTGGAATTCTAAGAAATAGTGTAAGAAATCATTAAAAATTTAAAGGTACAGCCGTAAGGTATAAATAAATAAATAAAATAAAAAATTTAACCCCTTACCTATGGTTGCCTTTTTAATTTAGAAAAATAATTAAAAAAATATATAGGATAATGATAAATAGGTAAAATTTATAAAAAATTACATAATTCGAAATCCACATTGAGCCCATGAGGGGTAATTGTATTCATATTACAAATCCACCTCATCTCGGCTCTACCTAATTCTTTTGCTATGTCACCACCCCTCCAATTCGTGCACACTTTTTGAATTCCCCCAAATTCCAGTGATGCGTTATTTTTGTGGTGTATCTTATAATGTAGTGAAACATTATGTTTTTCATACCTTTTTTTATGTTTCTCGTATGCTCCTCAATTCTAGTGTGGAGGGGACATTTTGTTCTCCCTATATACATAAGGTTGCACGGGCATCTGAGAGCATAAACTACATTTTTGGTGTCTCCTTTTAAAACCGGAACCACAGTGGCCGGAGTCTCTAGGAATGCCGTACTCGCTGGGGCCCGGGATAGGAGGAGGTCGGCCTGCGGTTTGCCACGACCAAGGTGAGTATTTGACTTTTCTGTTGGCGTAGCTGCTATGTTCCTGTACAGCCAAAATCGAGGGGAGCCGTGACAGTGTGTTGAGGGAGAGGTAAAAGGGGAGCAAAAATAACTTTTATTTTTCCCCTTCCTTCTTCTTACCTTATGCCAGGGAGGAGAGACATTGAAAGCCCTGGTAGTCTGGCAGTATTTGTTGACTCTAGACATGCACCAACACCGGTTGCAGACGAGTTCACTCTCCTTGTAAGCTACTGTCTTGCTGTAGTAACCAGTGATTTGCTCCGAACGGCAGAGCTCATGGGAAGAATACTCTCTGGTCCTCCCTATCCTTCCCTCACCTATAACGCTGATCTACCCACTGGCCATAGAGACAGAAAGCAGGGGCGGATCTGGCCCTGCATGGGCTGGCAGGGCAGAGCCTTTGACATATGAATGCCATTTAAACTGTGAATGTCATTATATTGTTAACTTATACTGCAATAAAAACACACGTATTTGTGTTCAGTGGTGTCTCACAAATACTACAGTACCCCCAGTTTCAGGTTTTATGGGTTCATGCACATGGAAATTTACCAGGTTGGTTTGCTGGGCCAGTGCTGCCTTTGAGAACATATGGCAGCCCAGGAATGAGAATTACCCCCATCATGGCATACCATTTGCAAAAGTAGACAACCCAGGGTATTCAAAATTGGTTATGTCCAGTATTTTTTAGTAGAAACGTAGTCACAAACCTTAGCCAAAGTTAGCGTTCACATTTGTATTTTTTTGTATTTTTCACACATAAACTGCATTTTCACAGATGACATGATTGTCATGATACGTTTTGCTGTTTTAAAACACTCATATTTGTACTCAGCTAAATCTTCCGGGTACAACAGGTTTAATGGTGTTTTGGAAACTTACAGTGTCAAATATAGGGCTTGCAAATTAAATTATCTGGACTTTCTGCCTGGGTTGTTAATTAAACTTAATAAAAATTACATACTTAAATACAAATAATACATTTATATACACATAGAAATTGTATGTGTATATATACATACATACATACATACATACATATATCTTTGCACTTTGGGCATATTTAAAGATTTGAAAAAAACAAAATTTATCTCCAGGTTGGGGGACTGCCTGACAATCTAGGCAATCCCCCTGCAAGTAGTATGGTAAACTGCCAATCCGGCCACGTGATCGCAATGTCATCGCAATCACATGGCACAGAAGGGCCGGATTGGATGCAGAGTTACTGCCTGGGTTGTCAGGCAGTTCTCCCAGATCGGTATTGCTGGAGTAGGTGAAAATTCCAGGGCTGTAGGGACTGCAAACCATTACGGCGTACTGTGTTTAAGCCAAGTTTTGCTGGACAGCATAGTACGCCATTACAGCGTTAAAAGGTTAATGCTGACATGATGATAGGTTGTGTTAACCAGGCTACCACAAAAGTGAAGGCAAGATCACTAAAATTTGGCCAACTTTTCCTCACTAAATTGCCTGTCTCTATTTTTAGTTTTTACAGAATTTCAAAAATAGCAATTACTTTCTACTGTTACTGAAAGCCAGTCACTAAGTAGGGGATAAGGGGCTAATCACTCCCATTATCCTCTATGGCAGTGGTCCCCAACCCAGTCCTCATGGACCATCAACAGTCCAGGATTTATGTATTCCCTGTTTTATTCCAAATGAGATACTGACAAAAACTAGATCGTTGGTAGTCCATGCGGACTGGGTTGGAGAACACCGCTCTATGGAATCTGCTACGTAACACTGTGACCAGTCTCTGACCAAGTGCAAAGAAGGTAACACAAACTAACCCCTCATAAATTTTACTGGAAATATACATGTAGGGTACTTACTCAGGAGGGGGACAGCAAATGTAATCTTTGCCTCTATAACCAAAAATCCTTGCACCGGCCCTGGGCATCACTGAGGCATGGTTCCTGTTATGCTGACGTTTTTCTGTTAACGTGCGATATATAGAGCCAAGTCTGGGCTCTTGGTATTGTAATTGGGCATTTCATCTATGTTCAGATCTGTTACTTATATTCAGTTTTTAATGTCATCCAATTTGCAATATTAGTTTCTATTTTGTTTTATGTATTTTTGAGGGGTACATTGTCACTTTTTGTGGGTTTTTATTTTTTTTTATTTTTTTTTTATGTAAGGTTGTTCACTAAAGAGTGAATTAAGGGGAATTTAAAGTGAATTTAATTTAGATTTCACATTTTAGGTCAAAATAACCTTAAAGTAACCAAATTGGAAAACTTGTCAGCAAAGTTTTGCTAAGTTTCCTGGTGAGTTTTTTGACATAAAATTTGAAATTCCCTTTTTATTCCTGAAAGTTTATTTAGTGAGTGAGAGTGTGGATTTCATGGGTTTAAGGGTGTGTTTTTTTAAATATTTTTTGTGGTCCTTGTTAAGCACACATAAATCCTCTGGGTAGAGGTTAGTAATGTTCATTTCCCTATACATATAAAGTTACACAATCTGGAAGATGCTCTTTTTCTGCCTGCTGCCTATCTACAGGAGTAAGGGATAAGAGACATTGCCCTATTTAGGTCAGTTCCCATTCCGAGAAGAGATACATTGTATTGTATTGCTGTAACCACTGGTATCACTGTCACACAGTCACTGAGCCGCCCAGGAAAGGATCAGAACGTTCGGATACGTCACGTGATCCGTGCGTTGCCTGGCAACAGACGCGCCTGACTTCCACAAGTTGAAATAGAAGGAGTAGAAGGAACCCATTCATCACCAGCATGATCTCCACGATCTCCACCCAGGTGGGCTCACACTTTAACCAGATCAGACACCCGGCACTGCAGGGGTTAAAGATCTCCATTTATCTGATAGAGATAGATATGAAAAGTATCTGTGCAGGAACTGAGTGCTGACTGCATTGCTGAATCCCCCATAGCTGGGGTTACACAGGTTTAACCTGGGTGTGTGTGACTGCTACATATTATAGCACCCAAGTATTACACCCCAGCAAATTGTGTTGTTCTATACATTGGCGTGCGTAGCCTATTGTATAAGGGTGTGCACCCTAAAGCACAAACGCACACGCTGCGTATATATATATATATATATATATATATATATATATATATATATACACACACATATACTGCTGTGTGTGTGTGTGTGGGAGCAGTGTGTGTGTGTGTGTGAAGGCGCTGTGTGTGTAAGGGCGCTGTGTATGTAAGGGCGCTGTGTGTAAGGGCGCTGTGTGTGAAGGCGCTGTGTGTGTGAGGGTTCTGTTAGTGTGTGTGTGTGTGAGGGTGCTGTTAGTGTGTGTGTGTAAGGGTGCTGTGTGTGTGAGGGTGCTGTTAGTGTGTATGTGTGATGGTGCTGTGTGTGTAAGGGTGCTATGTGTGTGAAGGTGCTGTTAGTGTGTGTGTGTAAGGGTGCTGTGTGTGTGTATGTGTGAAGGTGCTGTGTGTGGGAGGGTGCTGTTAGTCTGTGTGTGTAAGGGTGCTGTGTGTGTGAGGGTGCTGTTAGTGTCTGTGTGTAAGGGTGTGTGTGCTGTGTGTGGGGGGTGCTGTATGTGGGTGCTGTATGTTTGGGTGATTGTGTGTATTGTGTGGGGGCCGTTTAGTAAATATCCCCCCTCCCTTCCTACATTATGCCTGGGAGGGGGGATCCTTTCTGCTGCTTCCATCCCTGGTGGTCCAGTGGAGAGTGAACTTTAGTCTGCGGGGCTAGAGTTCACTCTCGCGAGATCTGAGCGCTGCCATGGCAACGCTCAGAATCCCGCAAGAGGAGCCCGGCGGAGCTACTGGCAAGAGCTCCCCGGGTCCTCTCCTGCCTCCCTCCCTGCCTGTGGTTCGGTGGGGAGGGAGGCTGAGAGCAGAGCTGGCGCTCGGATAGCGCCTGCTCTGCATGAGCCGACAGGGAAGATCCTGAGATCTGCCCTGCCGGTCTCAATACATAGACATGCCACGGGGATTAGGGTGTGCCCAGGCACACCCGGCACACCCCATGCGCACGCCTATGGTTCTATAGTAGTTTTAGACTCCACAGTTGCTGTGCATTGTGGGTAATATATCTTTCAGCACATGGTACCAGGGCTGACACTTACAAAGCCATGTTGTGGGCCCTCCCCTGGCATACACTCTCAGAGATGCATGCACAAACGTACTCAGAGACAGACACACATTATCAGAAATAAGCCCTGATGTACTCCTTAATACACACAGATATACACTCTAGGCTTCACATATGCTTTCACAAACACAAACATATGCATTCACAGGCGCACACACATAAAAATGCACACTGCCAGAATCAAATATTCACACACTGTTATACACTGGTAAACACACACAAAAGCGCAATGACACACAGATTCCACACACTTACGAACACGTACAAACACATAAATGAATGCATAGTTTTACCACATCATTTGGGTGCAGGAGGGTGGCTTATATCATCCTGCCTTCTCTCCCCTGACAGATGTAATGTGCCACAAATTGATACAGCAGAGGTTAGCTACGTCTGCAAAACATCTGCAGTAAGATGAAATGTTATGAGTCTTCTAAAGCATTTTGTTTCTGGGGATCCTGAGTGTTGTGTGTGAGGAAGGCTGAGAGTGGTATGCGTGGTGACTGGGCGCTGTGTATGTGGTTGTTGAGTGCTGTGTTAGTGTGGGGGAATGAGTGTTGTATGTGCGAGGTGTAGGCCGAGTGTGTTGTGTAAGGTGACTGTTGTTTGTGCGGATAATTGTGGCTATGTGTGGTGACTGGCTGTGAATATTGTGTTTCAGAGAGGAGGTTGAGGGTGCTCCAGTTCTGCTTACTTTTTGGCAAAAGGTCAGTTTAATGCCAGGTGGTCCAGTTTAGGGACACTGCGCAGGATGCTTGAAGGTCAAGTGGTGGAATTTTTTTGCTCTCCATGTTGTCTCAGTTGGACTACCCCTTGGAGTCAGATCTTACATACCAGGAACCAAGAACCTAGGCAGCCGTCTAATGTACATGAATGTTTGTATATGAAATATAGCTGATTTGTAGAAATTGTCCAGCTCAGATATTGTCACATCATGGCAATTTTAGACTTAATATTGCCATTTGGGTTTTTGCTACCATTCTATAGTGATTCAACCTGAAAGTCATTCATATCTATGACTAAGGCACAAAAAAGAACAAACTTTTTTTAGTGTAGCATTTAAAAATACTATTCCAGTCAAAAATTGACATGTGTTTAATGTGTTTTAATTGTATCCGCTGTCACGCTGAATGTTTTTAATCTCCATGGAACCGCTAAACTCCAAACATAAATGTGAACTAATCCCAAAACAACTGAAACAGCCAATGGCCTATTGCTTCGGGATTAACTAGTTTCCCCCTGGTGGCTTTATCAGCCAGCGGGCAAATCGTTAAATCTGCCCATTGGGGTCAATACTTATTTATATAAGGGAGGCTTTATTCCTGTCCCATCGAGGCCCCTGCCCTCTGCCGAAGACCTACGTCTATCCTCTATCTGAACTCCCACCTCTAATGCTCGCCTTCAAGACTTCTCCAGTACTGCACCTTTTCTCTGGAACTCCCTTCCCTTCTCCGTTAGACTTTCACTCAGCCTCCACTCCTTCAAAAAATCTTTGAAAACTCACTTCTTCAGGAAAGCGTATCAACTAACAGGTTTTCATCCCACCCCCCCACCCCCATGTCTCCTCTCCTGCAACTGTCAAAAATAACCCACTAAGCCCTCAGTGATTACTTTTCCACTTTGTTACCCTTTGTGTCACTATACCCCACTGCCTCTAGCTAGTAAGCTCATTGAGCATTGCCCTTAAACCCTCTGTTCCTCTGTGCCAACTTGTCTGGTTACAATTACGTGTCTGTTAGTCCACCCATTGTACAGTGCCACGGAATTTGCTGGCGCTATTCAAATAATACAATAATAATAATAATAATTCCTCTTTCTTGTCTTTAACGTCTGCTAAAGAGCAAGCAGCCAGTGGCATCGGGTGGGGACTTCAATGTAAAGAATTGGAGGGGTTGGTCAGACCAATGTCCACCACCCATGCTGCCTCCCGAGTGGGAATTTAAATAAATGTTGAACTGGAGGGGGAAGTGTCAATTAAATAATAAATTGGGGGGCATAATGTCCCGCGTAGAGCAGCCACCAGTGGCCAATGGTAGGGGCCCCCACCAGCATCCAGCAGTTGGGAATCTAATTAATAGCCTCAAAGTAATATTGATAAATGGGGAGTAGCAAATGTCTACTCCCACCAATAGGCTATGGGTGGGGTCTTTTATATTGGTAACAGGGAACCTAGTGTCCTTCCTCCTATGTGAGTTATCTTTCTAACTGTCTCAGCCAAGTTATAAAATATATTACGGGACCTTTCCGCATATTTTTATTGGTAAAAATATAGTGTCATTTGTGAAATTAGGTAGGTGTATGTGTGAGCGTAACGGAAAGTGTATGTACATCTCTGCTATGTTTGATGGGGAGATTCCAAGTCTGAAAAAATATCCATCTTGTATTTACTTAAAGAGGGGGAATTTATTTAAAGATAAAAACATTTTTGAAAAACATAACTAAGGTAACAATATGTTTTTATATTGGTGTTTAGTCGCAAACGTAAACTCTTATAATTGCTTTTCTTAATCTGTTTATACTTTCTCTGATTAAAGTCAATGGAAATGGCTTTGCTATTTATTCAGTTTGCTTTGTTCTTGTTCCAAAAGGCATTTGTAATTACTGATATAAAACTCTAATTCCAATATTGACACACTTTGTTTTCATGTATTGCATAAAGGAGGAGACTATATTTAAAAGAAGAAAAACTACCACAACAAGAGGACATAGTCTTAAATTAGAGGGGCAAAGGTTTAAAAATAATATCAGGAAGTATTACTTTGCTGAGAGGGTAGTGGATGCATGGAATAGCCTTCCAGCTGAAGTGGTAGAGGTTAACACAGTAAAGGAGTTTAAGCATGCGTGGGATAGGCATAAGGCTATCCTAACTATAAGATAAGGCCAGGGACTAATGAAAGTATTTAGAAAATTGGGCAGGCTAGATGGGCCGAATGGTTCTTATCTGCCGTCACATTCTATGTTTCTATGTTTCACATTCTATAAGTACATCTGTCAGTAACTGCATTAGAGTAGTGGATACCTCATAGCTAAAACTGATTAATAAACCAAATAATAGTGATAACAAAATACTGTATTTGGAAGCTTTCATAAGGCTCAACAAACATTCATATACTACACGTTCAGTGGTTCTATAGTACATGATTCATTTTTCAGAACATTCTACATCCTTTGCAAGGTTTTCTTACAAAATTTGAGTAGTATCCCAAAATAATGAATATTGCCCTTAAAGTGAAAATATTTGTCTGTTTCCAATTCTGAGTCTGTAGAAATTGATAATTCTTTCACACAGACACAGCAACATTTTTGTTACCACCATGTGCATGTCTAATGGGTTTATTCATTGACATCAGAGATACTAAAAAATAATCACTGACCGCTAATCACAAAATAGCAGCAGGAAAAAAAAGTTGGAAATTCCCTCAACTGAGCTATTCTGGCCCAAAATTTTCTTTGGAAGCCTTTGGTTTCAAATTAAAGTTGATTGCAACTCAAGTTATTCAGTGTGAAATCCCCTATATCTATTTACATTGACATTTTTAGTTTAGTTCAGTTTTTTATTCTTTTATTTTATTTTAATAATGATATAATAAAAGGTTTAGCTTTATTTGAAATCTTGCAGTTTATATAGTGTTTGTTTTGCCTTTGTTATATCACAGCTGAATGGAGATATACTGAAGCCAAAGTTTATGGAGCAACTATCTTATCTGAAAGAAAGAAGCAATTCCGCTACAGACAAGCAGAAATGTGACCATTTGTCTAAGTGTTTGCATTTGTCCTCAACATTACAAGGTACCAAACATCCCAGTGTCAGAGACAAAACTCCAACAAGGCCGAAGACAGCAATGGCTACACTAGGTAAGGCTGCACAGTCAAGGTTAAAATCCTGATTCAATCCTGATTTCGAAAAATGTTGTTTCAAATATTTTTTGTCTAACTTAAAATATATAAATACGGGTATTTAATAAAGTGAGAATTCAAAGTAAATTCAAACTGAAATTCACATATAAGGCCAGAGTAGCTGAATTGAAAGCATAGCTGACTTATCGACCTTAAAAGGTTATTTTACCCACCATTACCACTTCAGTAGGGATGGACATTACATTTCTCTGCTCTGATCTTGTCACAGTTCACTGATTGTCATCATGTGTCTTGTCTGTTGCCAAGTAACCGTAACATATACAGCAGAAAATTTAGGTTGTTATTTCTGGAGATCGTCTCTAAACAGGTACCTTTTTACTAGTAAAATATATTTGTTTTTCTATCTTAAAAATATATCCACTTATTATATAATTTCATCATATACAGAAAAATATAATAAATGCTATTTTAGTATCGTACCTTATCTTATCTTATCGTACCTGATTTTTGAGCAGAACATTTTTTTATTTTTGTTATCATAAGCTGTGCTACATTTAACAAAGTTTAGTATAAACATGGTACATATAGTAAAAACTGTTAAACAGTAAATCACTGTTAAAGAGTGGATGTGTTAATTCATGACATTTTTTTAATAGCAGACAGAGAACCAGAATCTGCGAACAGACTGTATATAAACATGTCACAATTCATAAATTAGAGCATTTTGCACTTTTTATCATCGTTGCTTCATATACCATGTCAACGTTTCTTGAAAAGGAAGCTCTACAAGAATGAATTAATGCATTTTCTCTACATAGAATAATACATTTATGTGAATAGATCCCCTGAAGTTGCATAGAATGACAGTATGAACAGAGATAAATTGAATAGGTTTTTATACAAAATGTTTAGGCTGGTTTAACAAGCAGGTATTGAAGCCATACTAAAGTACATTGATGATTGAAGTATTACTGTTTGTTTTTACTGATGATGATAAGTAATTATAAAAATATTTAAATTGAATAGCCTACTACATTGTTTATTTATTTTTGTTGAGCACTTTATAAAGTTAAGAGGATTGAGTGCTTAAAGGAAATCTGTCACGGTGTGGGGAGTTTGCATAATTTGATTTGATATCGCTGCTGAGGGTCCGGTGGCCTGAGGGGCAGACCAAGGTGAGTTTTATGTACCTAAACCTGTCCCTCGCAGACTCCGCCATCCTCTTCCATCTGCTCTTTTTCAACTCCTGGCTTTCAGTTACCAGGCTCTGACGTCAGGGCTGTACTCTTGCGCATGCACGAGAGTCCAGCATCGAGGTCTATGGAGGATCCCGTGAGACCACTGGTGATGGCTAGTGGAAATAGCAAGGCTTGATGGCGGTAGTGCCATCTAGTGTCAATTTTTGTCAAGCTAAGGAAAAATACTGAGACAAAGTATCCCTAGTCTCAGTATTTCTCTTGACTGGGTTGGAATTTCAATGACATTTTACTGCAGTCATTCGGAGTTTTTCATAAAGATTCATAAAGATTCTTGGAGTGATGTCAGTGCCGCTTTAAACAATTTATTTCTTAAAGGAGCACTCTAAACAACATCACTTCTAAATCCGGCCCCTTTGCTGTGGTTTGGTTAATATGAGAGTGAGCATCCACATTGACTGTCCAACCTTGGACAACAGTAATAGGCTGCATAAAGTGGGTATGAGTCAGCCCAGCACAAGCAGTCTATCATTGAAGTCCAGTGTTGGACTGATAATGTGGAAGTGCCACTGTAGAGGGACAATATAGCTGGAGTAACCTGTTTTTTTTTTTTTTGCACCATAACTCTTACAGTAAGCTGTGGTTTTGGTGCTCAAACTGTCTCTTTAACATTGCACGTACTGATTGAAGAAATTAATATTATGACGTGTAACCATGTTATATTTTCATGTTCAATTTCTCTTTAACATTTTGATTGCCTTTACCGTCATCCAGGAGGAAACATGTGGAACCCATATGAAACATCAGTGAATCGTGACTACTTTCATAGAATTGGCCCACCAACTCAAGCACGACGGTAAATCCTAAAATGAACCATCAAAAATAACTTTGACTTCTTGACTCATGTGGAACAATGTTCTAAATATAGAAAGTAGTTGTTCTAAATATATGTTTTGCTTTTCAAGATAATAGCTCTTCTTATATAGCTTTGCCCCAAAATTTAATTTTTTATATAACCCACATTACTTTACAATGCTGATCCTTAAGAACTCCTAATAATTAGGTTTGTTTTTTATTAAGGTGTGCTGAACTTGACTTGCTATGAAAAGTCATATCTATATATATAATAGCACTAACTGAAAAGAACCAAACAAAGTTTGGTGGTTCTGATCCATGACAGGACCACCTGGGATCTATATTTCCCCCTTCCTGGCCCAAGATAAACAAGGGTTGGGAATCAACTTTGCTTTTGTTTTTATATAATAAAGTGTTTTTTTATACCGTGTCCTGTAACCCCCACACACTACAACCACTTTCCACCCAAACACACACACGACAGCCCCTATAGCCCTGTCACCCTAAGTACGTACTACAACCCCATCCCTCCCCTAGACAAACAATATAGCTTCTGTAAACTGTAGAAACACACTTTAAGTCATCTCTCTCCTAAGCACACACAACAGCCCCTATTTGCCACTGGAAACACATCCTAGATCGCCTATTCCTCCTACAAAACACACACTACAGCAACATTACAGGCACATGCTAGAGCCGCCTCCACACACATCCACTACAATTCAAGCAGCACCTACACTTACTCGCAAATCCCACAGCAGCCTTTCGAAAACATACAACCCCACAAGCAGCCTCCAAATACAAAAACACCACTGGAAACTCTGCACACAAACACCCCTTTTCAGCCCTATCCCTCTTCTGTTCTCTGTTGTCCCATTTATGAGGACATGATGGAAATATAACCAGCAAGCTTGTCATTAAATTTGTTTGCATTGTGCTGAGAACACACAGGACTTTTTTACTCTTGCAAGATTTTTCAACAGGGCTTAACACATGAGAGAGGCACAAAACTGACATGTCTGATTGGGAGGGGGTATATGTCTTATTGGTGATGACACAACATGTCCCGCTCTGGCCTTATCCCTCCTGTTGGGCAGAGCCTTTAAATGCCCCTGATGTCAACCCATGAGTGGGGCTAATGAAAAACCCAAAACGTGTGCTGACAATACATAATTCATATATTTACATATACTGGTCTTCACTCCAGTTAGTAAATGTAGGTAAACATGTTCATTAAATACTTGAAAATGTATACATTATTGCTGTGCTATTTTTTTATAGTCTGATATGACTAAGGTGCTGGATCATTCCATTGCCTTGACTACTGTAATCTGCTTCTCAGTGGTCTTACGTGCTCCCAACTTGCGCCGTTACAGTCCATAATGAATGTGGCAGCGAGGCTCATCTTCCTGTCCGCCCGCACATTCCACGCCTCACCTTTCTGTCAGAACCTACATTGGCTTCCTGTAAGATATAGGGCTCAATTTAAAATTCTGGTTCTTGCTTTCAAATCTCTACATAATGCTGCTACCACCTATCTATCCTCCCTTATAAACAAGTAGGTCCCGTCTAGGCCCTACGCTCTGATGAAGACTTACGTCTATCTTCTGTCCATACTCCCACCTCTGATGCTCGCCTTCAAGACTTCTCGTGGGCTGCACCGTTCCTGTGGAACTCACTTCCCTTCTCCGTTAGATGATGCTCACCCAGTCTCCACTCCTTCAAAAAAATCATTAAAAACCCACTTCTTCATAAAAGCGTATCAATTAAACTGTTAATAGCTCCCGACTAATTCCTCTCTTACAACTGTCACTAGTCTAATACTATCCTTACCTTTTTGTGTCACTTTACCCCACTCCCTCTAGCATGTAAGCTCATTGAGCAGGGCCCTCAACTCCTCTGTTCCCGTGTGTCCAACTTGTCTGGTTACAACTACATGTCTGTTCGTCCACCCATTGTAAAGCGCTGCGGAATTTGACGGCGCTCTATAAATATCATCATAATAATAATAATAGTAATAATACATACATAAACGATTAAAACTTAATTATAATCTGCTCACATCTTTGTCTTACATCTCTTTATCCTTCTTAACTGTCCTGTATGTAAGATTAACCTGCACATTGTATTGTCTTTTTCAGTGAATCCTTTATGAAGTAGTCTAGAATTTCCCTTCTGATAGCTGCTATTGTTTTGTTTCACAGCCCCAAAACTTCTAACGGTTACAGGAATCCATATCACTTGACTGATCCTATCGGGATGAGCATTTACACAGATGACTTTTGTTTTAAGCCATATTCCAAACCTGACCTGATTAGAACAGCAACAGCTTCAGGGTCCAGAAGCCACAATCCTAATCCAAATAAGGTAACACTTTCAATGTCTCTAACATTAATGCAGTAGATGTAGTCTGGATTTGTTGTAGAGTAAAGGGGCACTCCATGCATAAGCTTAAAAGTCAGAGATAGCTATAAAAAATATGTTCATGTTTCGAATGTTGACAAATGCATGGTTGACACAATAAAAACAAACCCAAACATAAAATAAAACAGCTAATCTTCAACATCTTTGTCCCCTCATGAAAGAGAAAGTGGTGAGATAGAGGGATATATATACTGGTACCTTTTCCATATACCTCTACTGAGAATTGCTTAATTTAACTGAATTTTTTATGTATTTATAAAGCACCAACATATTCTGCAGCGCTGTACAATTGGGAAAACAATACAATATAAACAGACCGATAGAAAAGGTAGATGGCCCTGCCCGTGAGCTTACAATCTAAAGGTAAAATAGGGAAATGAGACAAGAGGTAGCAGAGGAATTTGCAGGTGATGGCTGAGAGAATAAGAGACTTGTGAAACAGAAAACAATTAAAACTACTTTTTAAGGTTTGTAGAAGCTCCTGACGGTTTATAGTCACTTGCTTCTGCAGTTCACTGCTTTTTGTTTGTATTTTAAATGGAAAATATATACGTAGCTTTCCCACAAAGCTATTGAAACACCAGGATTGGCTGAGAATCCTCCTGCACTTTCTCCTTAAAGAGGACTTTGCTGAAAAAAAGAATTATACTCTGTAAACCTCTTGCAAGAGAAGGGCATCGAGATCTCAATATTTGAAATAATTATCTCTCTAAGGCATAACAGATAAAGTAGAAAAGCAGCCAGTGGAGTCCCTTTAATAATTTGAAAAGCAGTGTTATCTTGAATGATGGCTCAAGGATTGCTTATTTTATATTAGTATTTATAATCAAGCCATGATTGTCTATAGTCAGATCTCTTTCAACATTGGAAGCTCATTGACTTGTATACCATGTAAATTCAGAAACCGGATTTTATTGCTTGGAGGCTCCCTCGTGAACAAAAACATATCCTTTTGGGCACCCACTCATCGAGCAAGAAGCCCCCCACAGACGAAGAAATGCAGAGAACAATGAAAGCGCAGTTTTGCTCAACATATAAAGGAGACTATTTGGGGATACCGCAGGGTAAGTGGATGAATAAAAAAAAAAAGTAATCAGAAGCCGTCCTTCTAATATACCTGAATGCATAATGAACAGATGGCATAAAGTATAAAATGAAAGAAAAAATGTACACTGACTTGAAAACAGTGTAAGCATTATTGTATGGAGATTTGTAACCATTCCGTTTTATATGATGTAAATGGTCTTTACAGGCTATCAAGTGAAATATGCTATAAACCCTCCACCAGACTGGAAAAAGGAGATACCTCGACCTCTTGATACGGAGTCAAGATTTAATTACCAAGTTCAGCCACATCCACCAGAACTCAGAGATTTTACCCACAAATATGGATGCTATTCAAATCTGCATGTTCCTGCTAAGGGAGTTGGTAAGACTGTAGCTTTAAAGTAACATATTTTAATGAGGCTAATGGATCCAAACTGATACAGATATCAGTCATTATAATATAAGGTGTGGTCTGATATATATACATACATATTACAGTATTACGATAAATTACAGTTATTCTGCATACTACAATAGCATAATTTAGATTCAATGTTGTATCTAGAATGAACATTGCCAGCCACTGGTTTACCTCAAGAGGTAATATTTACATACATACATGCGTGTCTCAAGCTGTTTTTATAGCCTCAGACATTAGCAGAAGTAGCTAAAAAGAGAGATTGGGCGCCGCATTAAAGACTTTTGGATTAAACCATTTGCTAATGGTTTAACCCTTTGAGCTAAACCACCAATTAAGTTGTTATGGTGGCCTGAGGGTCCTTTAAATATCTGTGTCAGAACCCAAAATAGAGTACCATTCTGTTCAAACAGTCACATCATTCACACCCTAGTCAACCGCCCACAGGAAATTATTACTGTAGCAGTACTTCCTTCCCTAGAGCAGTGAAGGTATTTACAAGTGTAAAGTATATCACATTATAATTGTAGATAGGTCATCGAGATAATTAATACGCAGTCTGCAAATGACTTGAGACCCCCTCTCAATGTTTTTTCTTTTGATTTTCCTTTACGTATACCTCCTGTATTTTAATGATTATAACCACTTGCCTTTATTTATATTATTTATTCACTTCTTTCCTTGTGCCAGATCTCAGTATCTGGGCGCTACTATTCTGTTCTCCTCTGCCCATGATGTCTGCTGTCTGCCCTTCTGTAGGACTGATTTTACTGATGCTTCGTGGGTAAATTTGATTGGCTACTGAAACAGAATCTTACTTTAAGCTCAGCACATTGACTGCTATACATAAGGAAAAGTAGTCCTTAATTTCTTTATTTATTTTGTGAAAACCTAAAAAATAAAAAGACATTCAGACAAAGGGAGCTGTATAGCAGCAGATTAGATAAAGTTTATTGTTGGTGAGACACTTGCTTTAAACTAGTGAAAAACAGGTTTTCTACTACTAAGATTTCACAAATTCTATTTGCTTAACCCCTTAAGGACCAAACTTCTGGAATAAAAGGGAATCATGACATGTCACACGTCATGTGTCCTTAAGGGGTTAAAGGATCACTGTGGCACTTTAGCTGCTTCATCTCATTGAAGTGGTTATAGGGTCTGAAGTTCCTGGCACTGTCGATCATTAATTAATTTACCTCTGTGCTGCATGGGCTAGTGAGGAAGGCTGTGATTGGCTGAGATTGTCAGCTGATCGTATTCAGATTATCACAGTGCTATTACAGGTATTAATCGTTATGGCCACAATGAAGTGTGTAATCTCTGCCTTAGCCACATTTCGGTGGAGGCTCGACTGTGGGTAACCAGGAAACCCCATTCATTAAACTGGTTAAACACTGAATAGAAGGGCAGCAACAGTTCTCTCCAGACACTACCCAACTCAATGAGATGAAATGGTTATAGTGCCTTCAGTGTCTCTTTAAGGATCCCTAATGATTGATTACTGCTGGAACATTTACATGCAGACATTTTTTCCTTTTCTTTTTTTCTTCTGTTTTTAGAGTATCTCCATAGTTTACCAAACCTTGGTAAATCCTGTGTGTTTTATGCCCATATTGTTTGCCTATTACGAACAGTTGGGATTTGTTTTTCAGATTTGTTTTATTATTTTTATTACGGCAAAAGAGATGACTCTCTGTCTCGTATTACAGCAAATGCTACAACTAGCATTTTACTACATTCATTTACAGTTGCTAGCTGATGTGTGACTGTTATACAACACTTCAAACTTATTATTTGTTTGTTTGTTTATTTATTTCCTGAAATTCCGATTTAGTGCCCACTGTGGTTTATTCCCATATCCAAAATCAAGAGAATAAAAAGCAGCTGACTACATACCAGAGACACTTTGGAAAAGAGTATGTTAATGTTCTCGCTCTGACAAACTCGTTGGATCCAGAGGACCTAAAGCTATACCTGAGAAGTGTCCCATCTGAAGGTAGTTTTTATTTTAAATGTAACATGTATTGAATTTTTTTAAATAAAAGTATGTGCGATGTGTCATTCATTATGAAACCAACACACAAGTCTTAGAAATTAGTGAAAAGTTAAAAGTACACAAACCCTACAGGCTTATGGTGCCTGTAAATTCTTTATTTAAAAGGTTTTGTATAGAGAGAGAGAAAACCACACATCTCATGACAATGTACAAATGGTAATTACAAGTAATGTGTACGTCCAGGGCATCTTGCAGTTCAACAGTGCTTATATTACATTTCTAAAAGTAGTCATGGTGTTAGACCTGGAAGCTGTGTTCGCGGAGCGCCTTTTTGGTGCCCCTTGTAGGTGGGACTTTGCACCGATGGTTATTCAGTCAAGTGGTGCAACCATCCCAAGTGACTCTGTTGGGGTAGCCTTCCTGGGGACTTTAGGGTGATGTTTGGGGCCGGGTGCTTTGTAATCATGAGTACTCTGTTAATAAGTGGTGGCTGGTATGTAACGGGGGAAAGGGAAGTGGATCAGAGTGGATGGTCTATGCAGGCTGGGCACGATCAGGGTTTTTCCTGGGATCTCCTGTTTGAAGGGTGGTTTGCTGTGATCGCATGTTGGTGCATTGTCCAGGAGTGTTGTCTGTTGCCTCAGTGCGTTGTGGTCCCTGTGTGGGGCCGTGCCATGGTCTTGGTTACGCTCAATTTATAAGAAGGCAGTGCCTAGGCTAGGGTTAGTGCTTGCGTTATTCAACGTGCATATGTTACTCCGATTGCCATCCTCACGGAGGCTGAAAGAGGGAGAAAGTTTTAGAAAGATAGAGTGGACTGGTTGCCGCCTCCGCCAATCTTGGTCTCCCCGTCAACCCAGCGTGGGGAGGGGTGGGATGGGGTTTAATCACTATTTTAACGCCCATTGACGGCATAGACCGTCATGCATTACAAGTGCCAGCAGGATTAAATCCCTGCTTGTACTAAGGAGCCCCAGGTATCCCATGTCAGCTGGGGCCACAGTTAGTGGCCCCAGACTGACAGATAAACTGATTCCGAGCCTGCCCCCGGATTAAAACAGGAAGCCCCACATATCTTGTGATACTTGAGGGTCCTCTCTGTCAACTGGGGACACCATAGGAGAACATGCATGGTCTGTTAATCTTCACAAAAAATAAATAAATATTTTGACTGAGGTTCTTGAAAAAAATGGTTAAATGAAAAGTGTTATAAATGATCTTAGTTACATAGCCCGGGGATGTACTTTCTACAAATATATACTTTTGTGTAGCAATTTTGGATTCTGTGACTACAACAAAAGTTGTAATCTCAGCATGAAAAATGTTGCTAAGTTTTAGCTTTAAATCTATAATTGACACCTTGCAATGTTTGTTTTATAACTTATAAAATTAACTGAAATCCTAGATATATTGGGCATTTTAACAAACAGAGACAATTAGTGAATCTAGTTAGTGAGTGAGTTTTCCTTATTTGCTCTTGTGTAAGAAATTATTAAATGGACAAATGAGGAAAATGTTTTTGTTTTTTTTCCAATTTTTAAAAATGTTAATCATTCAATATTTAATATTGTTTATTTATCAAATCCCTATTTCTCCTATATATGTGTATATATAGGAGAAATAGGGAGATTATATATATATATATATATATGAGAAACAACTGTATCTTGCACTCAGACTTCAACTCCCAGGCACTACCTGGGCTCCAAACATCCAAATGGCTGTTATAGAAGACTGCACTCACGGATTCCATAAAATATAACTTTTAATCAGTCTTGGTAAAAGAAAATCAACGTTTCAGTCCTACTTGAGGACTTTCATCAGGATTATGCTGATGAAAGTCCTCAAGTAGGACTGAAACGTTGATTTCTTTTTTTTTAGCAAGACTGATTAAAAGTTATATTTTATGAAATCCGTGAGTGCAGCCTTCTATTTTATTTATATATATATATACATATATATATATAAATAGTTTTTTTTTAGTTTTTTTTAATACAGATCGTGTCAAATTTTGGTAGAATCAATGTACTGTATATCAGAAGTGCCAAAATGTGCTTACAAATGTGTTGCATCTCAAAACTGCCGTGGTCTTTAAATGAACACTGTACTCACTAGAACTAGAACAATTGAGATTGTTATAGTGCCTACAGTAGATGCTCCCTTGTAAGTGCTCCCAAAACATTTTAGTTTAATAGTTAGAAGGTTTCAAACCATGCCTCCAAATCTTCTGATTAGGAGAGCTGGGACCTAGTTGTAGGTTATCGACAGCTAACTGCATTGATGAAGCTATTAAGTGATAGGTGTGTAATTAACCTATCACTTCCTATAGCGTCATTGCAGTGTGTTGTTTGTAAATGAATGTTTATATATAAATGTTTATGTCGCGTTATTGAAATTTATATTATCAATTTTTTTTTTTTACTTCCACAGAAAGAAGAATATTAGAGCGGTTCCTTAGCCATTCTGATTGAGCAAATCATCTAACCTTATAATAATATCAAAACAAAGTGAAATAACTTTGATTTCCAGTTGAATTTAAATAGGTGTGTGTGTGTTTTGTGGCACTTCTACAGCTGAAAAGTTTTAGATTTAGGTAGCATTTTCTACCTCAATTAATTAATTACTGCCTTTGAGCATTAACAAACTGCAGTTATATCATGATTTGCTTGTCTACTGGTTCTACATAAATGTAGAAAACAACACTTCTAATTTTACTTAAATTTGTTTACATACAAAAATCATTATTATGATAATAAAAATATCATATTATTAATATCTTATTCAGTTTTCCATCCATCCTAGAAGACATTTACAAAGCTGTGCACATTTGTAAAAAATATATATTCTATTTTTTCCCCAGCTACATTGAATATTTACAGGTACACACGCAATTTGGTTTGTGTAATGTAGCCAGCACATTTTTCAAACCAAGTGCTTAGACAATAAAACAAGTAGCCCAAAGAGGTTGTTAAAAGGATACTCCAGTTACCCAGACCACTTTTGCCCATTGGAGTGGTGTGGGTGCCAACATTCACTACCCTTAACCCTGCTAGTGTAGCTATTGCAGTTTTCATACAGTGCAATATTTACCTTGCAGGGTTAAGTCCTCCTCTAGTGGCTGTCTATCAGAGGGACTTCCGTGTTCTTGAAAAGTGTGTTATACGATGCTGGACGTCCTCACACTATCTGAGGACCTCTTCGTCGCCGAAATTCCCATAGGAAAAGCATTATTCAGCGCATTAGGTCTCCCCCGCCGGCTGACGTCGGTGGGCGAGGAGAGTAGGCAGCGCCTGACCCAGCGCAAAGGGACATTGGCGCTGGACTCCGGTAAGTCACTGAAGAGATTTTAACCCCTTCAGCAACTTGGGATGGGGGGTGGGAGGGAGAGGGGCACTACAGGGTCATGCAGTGCCAGGAAAACTAATATGTTTTCCTGGCACTGGAGAATCCCTTTAAGTGTGAATTTCTCCTGGGCAAACTGGATTTGTCATTTGCCATAGGTAAAGTTTAGTCAGTTCAGAAATTGTGATTTAATAGACTGTTAACATTAGGTTAATAAACAAATTCTGAATACAAACACCTGCAGGGCCGGTGCAAGGATTTTTGACTACTCAGGCAAAGATGCATTTTGCCACCCCGTCGAAAAAAAATGTATCTTCACCTGTGTGCCTTTGTGTGTCCCCTTTTCTGTATTTTATTTCTCCTGTGTCTCTTACAACCCTCCCTGTGTATTTTTTACTTCCCCCAGCTCCTTTGCCTTTCTCTTTCTTCCCCCCAGACCTTCTGTGTGTCTTTCATCCCCCTGCCCTTTTGTGTGGCTCTTTCTCCCCAACATATTTGTGCGTCTTTTTACCCAAGTACCTTTGTGCATCTCTTTCTCCCCCTAGCCCCTTTGTGCTTCGTTCTCCCCCACAGCCCCTCTGTGCATCTTTCCCTTAGCCCCTCACCCTTCTGTGCGATTCTTTCTCCCCCCCAGCCCCTTTTTGTTTGTCCCCCTCAACCCCACTGTATGTTTCTTTGTGCCCCCCAGCCCTCCTGTGTCTTTTAATATTCTCCTGTACCTTTTATTGCCCCCCTCCCCTCCTGTACCTTTTATTGTCCCTCCTGTACCTTTTATTGTCCCCCCTGTACGTTTTATTGTCTCACCTCCTCCCCTCCTGAACCGTTCATAGTTCACCTTTCCCTCCTGTGTCTTTCAATGCCCCCTGTATATTTTAATGTCCCCCCTACTGTCCCATTTTGTGCCCCCTTCCTCTTCTGTACCTTTCATTGTCCCCCCTCCTGTATCTTTCATAATCCCCCTAATGTTCATTTTACTGTCTCCCCTCCAGAACCTTTCATAGTCCCCCCTCCCTACCTGTCCCTTTTCTTGTCCCTCCATCCTGTACCTTTTATTGTACCCTTACCCTCCTATACCCTTCCCTCCCTCCTGTCCTGTAACTTTTATTGCCCACCCTCCCCTCTTGTACCTCTTACTATTGTTCTCCCTTCTGTATCTTTTATTGTCCCCCTCCTATCCCCTCGTACCTTTCACTGAACGGGCACCTCCATCCATGTGTTTGAGCTAGAGGTCCGTGGCGAATGATCCGGTTTCCTGTTCTGGTCTGACAGGAAGCAGTTCGTTGCATTTCCTGTCAGACCTGGTAAGTAGAGTTCCGCCCTCTCAGCCACGCACCACGCAGTGACAGACAGGAGGGGAGTGATGCTAATGGCGCTCTCCTCCTTCTGGTCACCGGAGATCGCGCCCCCCTGGACCCGTGCGCCCTAAGGCGCCCGCCTGGGCCGCCTTATGGTAGCGCCGGCCCTGAACACCTGCTATAGGTGGTAACATTGTGTAACACGACTGCATAACATAGAAGCAGATAAAATCTGTATACTGTCCCTCTGCTCAAGCTCCCACAACTCTTCTGCAGCAGTATTGCCTGTGTTAATCAGCTCCAATGTATCAACAAACCAAAAAAGTTTTGTGTAAGCCCACCTGCCAACATCAAGGCAAACATCTTTAATTCTACACTTAGAATTCACTTTTCTACTTTGTTTAATGGAACATTTTGTAAAGTGACAGAAGTGTCAATTCTTATTAAACCTACAAACTATCTATTTCTAGATCTTCTGATGTGTTAGGAATCGTTCTGTTTCAGATCCATTTGTCATAACCTGGTCATGACATTGTATAACCCAGTATCTGTAGATGGTATGGGGTGGCACATATGGTTTAGTTGGTCGGGGCCCGGTCAGGTGTCCCAACCCACAACAGATCTGCAGTTACCCCGTGGCCCTTGTCCTTGGAGGAAGTTATTACACTTCACTTCCTGCCAGCAGACAGAGAGGTGTGGCATGGGGAGAACGAGAGAAGGAGGGAGAGACAGGACCAGAGTCCCCCAGCTTCCATATTCCTCAGGTAGCCCTAGTCTGATCCCACTTATCACAGCCTGCTTCCACTGGATCCCTGAGTAAGCCAACTCTCTACACTCCAAATGTATGGAAACATGAAATTGACATATATATAAATTATGACTTAATTCTGTGTGTGTGTCTCTGTCTGTGCATGTGTGTCAGATGTGTATGTGTATCTGGGAAGTTTATGTGAATACACCAGTGAATTCAAATGCCAACACTCATTCAAACTCATTCAAACACACATGGTCCACACAAAAGCTTACCTCCATTCAAACACAAAGACTCTGCACACAGAAACCACCACCGATGGGCAAATGGTAGATTCCTAGCTGGCAAAGCATCTGTGGGAGTTGTATGACAATTGATCTACCATTTTTTCTTCCCAAATATACTTTTTATTGGTTTTGAGGCAGATACCACATACATTTGCATTTACATCAAGTTCCATAGAATGTTTATGACACTAAAGTAATATACAACAGGTATTAGAAGCACACTTTTTGCCACATGTGTCATGTAGATATATCTGATGATAAACATGAACAAACGAAAATAAATGCACGTTGCAGCAATATCAGTAGAGAAAAGTGGCTGGTATGTCCAATGGAAGATAAGATCTGTCTCTTCTTTGTTATGTAGTTAAACTAACCTGCCCACATTTTTTGAACATCAGTACTTTCCCCCATAATTCTATGTGACATCTCTTCGTATATCCGTGTCAGAGTTTGTGTATCACCAACCTTTCTGATGGAGCTTTCACACAATAATTTGTTGTGGTAATTTGCACAGCAGTCAGAATATGATTAATTCCAGTCAGGTGAGCCATGAAATGCTATCAGGGAATATGTTGAGTAAAAATTACAGCTGGCTCTAATGACAATGATACTCCTGTGAAATGATGCATGAACTGTGTCCCAAAACCTTTCAAGATGTAGCAGAACCACAATTTGTGTAGCAAAAAACCTCTGTCTTTCTTATATCGCCAACATATTGAAGATATAGGAAACATATGAGCTAGCCTGTCTGGTGTCAAATACCAACTCATGGATATTTAGCAATTTGATTCCCAGAGATTTAAGCTTCGGGATTCCATTTTTAATCTGTCGAATGTGGTGGATCATAAAAGGTAACTTTCCCACGTTAGAGAGAGACATAAGGTGTCTATAACAGAGCGATAGGGTTTTTTCAAGCCATCCTAGGTAGGGAGCTGATCTACCTTATGGCCTCCCTTGCTCTAAAAGCAGGGCTGTCCAACCTGCGGCCCCCCAGATGTTGCTGAACAACAACTCCCATGATTCTTTCAATGAAACAGATAGCCAGGGAATCATGAGAGTTGTAGTTCAGCAACATCTGGTGGGCCGCAGATTGAACAACCCTTGCTCTAAAGGAACGCCCAAAAATATAACTTGCACTGGGGCCAATCATTCGTTCCAACACTGACATAAAAAGCTCACTATGAGATGGCAGATTTTGCAGCAGCGTCCGAAACACAAAGAGTGGTGCTGTAAATAAGCAGTATATTGCAGTGTAGTGGGTATTTTGACCTAAATTTTGCAAACTCATTATCAAAGAGCCGTTTACTGAACAGTCAATCTGGTTTTAAAGCGAACCTGTCTTGACAAGTTCACTTAAAAGATAACGTCTACTAAAGCAATAAATATAATATTAATCATAAAGTCAAAGGAACACCCGAGGCACCATAACATACTATAGCACACAATGGTTTGACTTTCTACCTGGGACTTGACAGGCGCTGCTCCTTGCCTCCTCAAAGCATCTGTTGCTTCATTTCGATATTGTGTCAGCAACTGCAAAATGCATTAATAGAGGAAATTCTGTGGGGGAGAGCAGGAGAGCCTACTGTTGGGAACTGATTGACAGGTGGTAGAGGAAACAAATATTTTCTTTTACTTTGTATTCAGAAGTAAAAAATGCTAAAGTCATACACAATTGATGTGACACACACAAGACGTTTTGTTTTTACAGCATTTGTCTATAAATATAATATTTTATTATATTCTTTGTAAACCAGATTTCCTCTATTGTTGGATTACATATTCACAAATTTTAGGTTAATTTAAAATATGGCAAGAGGGTTTAAACTTTTTATCCATTTTTACTCGTGATGTATTTTCGAGCATTTCAGCTAGCAATGTATAAATTAATTTAAATGCTGTTTTTTTTTGTTTTTTGTTTTTATACCAAGTTGTGTGTACCATGAATTGTACAATTTAAAATAAGTGAATCAATGGTGGGAAGCACTTATGCTACTGTGTACTATTTCACTACAATTATCATAATAACTATAATATACTCAAGCTGCATTAATTAGACACATGATCACAAAACAGTTACTCCTGGGTGGCCTGTCCCTACTTGAAACATCAGCGGTACTGATGAAATAATACATTTTACTCCTGGGTGGCCTGTCCCTACTTGAAACATCAGCGGTACTGATGAAATAATACATTTTGGCAGATACCATAAGCCCTTCCTTTATTTTAATGCAGGTAGCTTTTTATATTCCTATGTAAATTGTATGTATTTAGAGAATACATTTTTGTTTAGTAATCCAATACAACTGTTGTCATAGCGATAGCGTTTATTTGCAGGTACAATGAGGATGTCACCTGAACCATCCCTTATTGTACAGCTTACTCTGATATCAAATGCCACGCAGAGAGAGAGGTTTGGAATTTAATTTTACAATTTGCCAAAAATGTTCAATTGTATACAACCTATAATGAGGAAGGAATTTTCATTGGTGGTAGCCAAGGTTATCTACTATAACATGTAATAGGCAGTGTCCTTTTCCTTGTATTTAATGTTCACGCTCGCCTAGCTAATTGTTTAATGATGGCGATAATTAGCATTCCAGTATCTTATGCAAGTGACCAAATCAAAACTTTGGCGAGGTATACAGAATTTTATGACAGCATTTATTATATTTATTTTCAAATGCAT